ACTATGACATCATCTATGTAAATTTCCAGTCCTGAAAGTCCATCAAAAATTATGAAAAAATTCCGGTGCGAAGCATAGTCCATAAGGCATTCTTCTATAATAATATCGCCCATAACAACCAGCATTAAATGTTGTAAGTATTTCACTTTCTTCATGCAATTTATTAATTTGATAAAAACCCTTATTGCCATCCAGTATCGAAAAAAACATTTGCGCCTTCCATTTTGGATGCAATTTCTTCGAAAGTTGGAAGCTGATACCACTCATATCACATTTCCTGCTCTGCATCATCAGCTTCTACTGCATATACATTTTGAGTTATATTTCCTTCTTCACGGCAGCACTTTTGGAACTGGCCAAACTTGTTACATGTTTTACACTGTCTTCTATAATCTGGACATCTTGGCTCTTGAAAATATTCACAATTGCCAGACTGTTTTTTATCAGCTCTATTTTCTGAGTTTGTTGCAGAGCTATTTCCATTTTGATTTCGGGCTTGATATTGATCCTTCTGTGAACCAAAGTCTCTGTAGTGACTTGATTTATGTACGTTCTTTACAATATTAACATTTGTCTCATTATCTAACTGTTTCGATTGAAGTTCAGCTTACTCTGACGCTCTACAGATATTCACACATTGTGTCAAATCTAATTGAGGCTCTCTCAACTCACAGACAATTCTGTCTCTAAGCCTTCTTGTAGATCTCCAAAATTACAGTTATGACTTAGCTTTCTTAAGTCAGTCACAGACATATCAACATTTTCACCTTGTAACTGGTTTCTAGTATGAAGTAGGTGTCAATTACCAGTCTCATTTTCTTTTGGTTTAAAATAAAGTTCAAAATGCTGTAATGATTTTTCCCAGTCTTTCTTATCATCATCAGATATCTCTAGTGCTTCATAGATTTCTAGGACTTCAGTTCCAATTGTATGTAGCGAAATAGCGGCTTTCCTTGCAGCTGTTACCTTTGTACTATCCTTCAAATCAGAAGCATCCATATAAATGGTGAATTGTTGTTTCCATTTTTCAACATTTATGGGGATATCACCCTCTAGAGACATTTTTAGGTTGTCCTAAACTTTCCATTTTTATTTTAATTAGAAAAAGTGGGATTGAGAACGAATTCTACTCGTATTAAGAAATCTCCGTACTTCAGGTATTTCATAAAAATTAAAAAAATGTATACTTTACCACTTAACCTGTCCGCAGCGCCATGTAAGGTTTGGACATTTGTAACAAGCACAAAATAAACTTTGGTTTAATCACGTTTAATAATGAAACTCTAAATTATCTTGACACACACATCACTGACTTATCAGTGTTGTCTCTAACCCAAGTACATTGGCTTGCCTGTAACACAGAATATATAGCTAAACCGTATATCTCTAGGTATACTCTTTTCTCTCTGCATGAATAAATTTCCAACATTCTCTACTTATTTCGGTCCCGCACTTTTCCGCAGCTTCCTCCCGTGTACACATATGTTTTTCAGACATTTGTAGGCGTCAATGTCCGATCTTTTTTTTCTGAAGCCGTACTGGTTTTTGCTTATCGTATTCTTCTCATGAGAAGAACATGAACTTCAGAAGTCTGTCTCGGATTAGTATTTCACAACAGTTTCCCTGCTGTATCTATCAGACAGAGGGGCCTGTAAGAAACTTTGCTGATGTAAGTCTTTGGGTCGTTTATTTCCTTTCTTGGCTTTTCTACCAGTACCTACCAGTCTGGCAGCTTTCCACATCTTCGGGAAGACTCCACGCTGCTTAGGCATCCATTGTATACCTGTAGAAAGGCCTCAGACTTTCCTTTTACGATTATATTGAGGACTTGGCGTGATGTTGTCTGCTCCCGGGGCTTTCTTCGGTTTCATTTGATCGGTGACAATCTTGAGTTCGTCCTCTTCAAATTTGTCTACCTCGTTACTGGCTATCTTTACTCTGATAACTGGTGTTTTGGTTTTGGGGCATTTGGGGAATAGTTTTTGGACTTGTCGATCTATGATCTCTTCATCAATTTGACATCGTTTCTTAAGTTTAAATCTGTTTGTTACAATCTGGTAAGCCTTGCCCCAGATATTCACTTCCAATTCCTCGCATACCTCCTTCCATTTTTGTTTCTTGCTATTGCCAATTTCCCTCTTCAGTTGCTTTTTGGCCTCCTTGTATTTTTCTATCCGTTTCTCCAGTATGTTCTCATTGTTGGTTTGTCCTCGCGCCCTTGTAAGCTCTCTTCTCCGCTTGTTACATACTTTTCGTTTCTTCGCAATTTATTAATTCCATCAGTAAACTGGTTTGTGCTTGTCCGTTCTTGTTCCTGCTTTAGTAAAGTGCTTATTGCACGCCCTCGTGATATCCTGTATCAATGTTTTCGCATCTATATCGTCGATGTTCCAGAAAATTGTGCTGCTTTCTTTCGCTAGTTTTTCCATAGCTTTTGCGCTTGTTCCCACTCTCTAAGTCTCCCCTCTCCTGTTCGTTTGCGTTCCACTTGGAGCGTGTAGGTTATGGTGCGGTGGTCACTTAGGTGTTCCGGTTCGATTTCGACTTTCCAGTCATGAATTTGTGTGCTTATCGCTGGTGACACCACAGTAAAGTCGATTATTGAGGTTCCATTATTTATGGTCCTCTTTTCTTTTCCGCACTATTAGCATTGTTTTCTGCGGTCTGACTCTTTGCATTCCTTGGCTTCGTGCCCGTACTCCAAGCATCTATGGCATCTCTCCACTCTGAGCCTTTCTTCTATGTGGCACATGGACCCTATCCTGATTTTCCCTTTTTTGAGTAGTGTTTGCCCTTTACTTTCGGGCACGACCATGATTGCGTTCGGGGTTCTAGGTTCCGTCCCTGTTAGACCTTAAGTTACTTAGCTCGCACTCGTCCGGTTCCATTTGTCTGACTATGTCGGTAACTGCTCTCCTCTTTGGTGGTTGTGACATCCATTTCCCTTATATGTAGTGCTATTTATGGTTTGTTCACTCCCGAAGTTCCAATCCTGACAGCTTCTAGTGTCTTCACCAACTCCATTCTCAACCATTCAGCCTTTTTCATGGTTATCAAAACCTTGCCCTCCTTGGTTTCTCGGACCGTGTTGATGTTTATTCCCAGATCGATTTTTCCGACTCGCGCTTTCGACTATTCATCTTTATTGTTCTGCCACGAGGTGGAAGAAACTGTCGTACATGTGTAGTGTCATTGCGAAGAGCTATGCAGGCTTGGAGAGGAAAAGCCCAATCCGGCAAATTATATGGAGTGGCTCTGGAGTCTAATACAAAAGAACGCACTCTAAGGACAGCTTGGAGACATCACAATAAATCTGACAAGGTTGCAGTGGTATAGAGGACGCCTCTGTGCCATCTCTATTCAAACAAATCTAATCTCCTCGAGGGGTGTATTCACTAGATTATCTCCTTCGCAGTCTATCAATAGGGCTGAATCCTGATAAAACTTGACATCCTCAGATAGGCGTTCAAATTATTCGAGCTACAATGGCCTATGGTGATCGAATCCTCTATCGGAAAAGTGTTCCTGCATATTTTTGCATTCAAATATGTATGGCATTTTCCGATTAAAAGAAGTGCTTCTGCCTGTTGGAACTTGAAATTTTTTAAGAAATATCTGAAAAAATAATTGAGGGTCTGTTTGGTCAAGTCTCCCAGTCCCAGTGAATCCAAGAGCAATGCATTGGCCTGACCAAGAGCCCAACTGATCCTTTGGCTTCTTGCGACTAAAACAACAACACTTTTCTATTGGAACTTCGTTTGGTTTCCAGTTTCTCCTAGTATATTTAAATAATTTTCCTAGTTGAAGTTTGACATTTAAATATCTTAGAATGCCAATCAATAATCTACAAGGTAAAGAGCCAACCCCTTGGTGTGCACCAATGGTGGAAGTGCCTAAAAAGGATGACACTGTCAGAACATGCATAGACTATATACAGTTCTCAATAAAAATATGGAACGAGAAAGATTAGTATTACCGAATGTTGAAGAAGCATTGTTCCAAATTGACGCTGGCTCTCAGTATTTTAGCAAGCTAGACGTCACATCTTTTTTCTATCACATTCCACCGGATAAGGAATCGCAACTGATAACAATTTATACACAATGTATTTAGATCTGGGCGGAGTTCCCGGAGAGGAAGTAAGAGAAACCCTTCATCCCTTGCATATGAACGGGGATCAGCCGCCATATACAAGTTATCCGTAAAAAGGCACAATCAAGAGAAGATAGAAAAAGAAATCAGTGTGCGGACGAACACACCTAGGTATGCAGTATCTCAATTAACCGCTAATCTCAAAGAACCACCCGAATCTAACTCCTGCTACCAAGCCTGTGTCAATCAATCAACATTTATAACGCAATTTGGTCGCTATGCATTTAAACGCTTGCCAATAGGAATCACTTTGGCAACAGAAAGGTTTCAAAAACAAATGCTAGTGATTATGAAAGGACTAAAGGCATTAGTCAATGTAACAGATGACACATTAGTATTTGGTAAGAACAAGGATTAACACGACTCTCGTTTGAAGGCCGTGCTAACACGTTTCCAAGAAAAAAATAAATAAAACTAAATAGAAACAAATGCGAATATTGCAAGAAAATAGTGACATTTCTAGGCCATAGCGTTTGAGATTCAGGAATTGAAATCGATGAAGAGAAAATAAGAGCCATTTTAGACATGCAATCCCACAACGATATAAGCGGTTAGAAGAATGATGAGCTGCATACAGGTTAACACTAAATTGCTTCCAGGATTAGCGGAAAAGTTTGACCCCATAAGGAACTGTTACGAAAAAACATTGAATTTATGTGGGCAGAGCCACAATAACGAACATTTGAAAGCATTAACAATACAACCACCAATCGACGATTTCTTCATATCAGCTTTTAATATTAAAAACCTCATGCAGTCAAAACATGAAGCGATTTCTCTGGTATATATTTTTGATGGTCCAGTCTTTGAAATGGTCATTTAATATCCTTAAATTTTAAAACTTTGAAATCTTTTTTCTGAAATCCACTTAAAAAATGATATCTAAGTGACAACTTTTTCAAGTACTGATTTTTGTATCTCTTCCAGGTCTAAATGTCATTTGAAAAAAGAAACGTGCGGTCAGCTAGTCATCGAAGTACCACTTCAACACTGTAGAACAACTGCCGCCTGTAATGAACATTGTGCAGACGAGAGAAATTTCGTTTGTGGCTCCGACAATAAAATTTATAGGAATGAATGTGAGATGAAACGAGACAATTGTGGGTGAGTACCAAAATTGTATTGATAGTTTTAAACGAATAACTGGATAAATATTTCATTAATCATTTTACACTCAATGGATTTTCAACAGTATTAATTTATAAGCTCTATTCCCTTCAGCTAAAATTTCAATAAAGAAAATCGTTCCATAAACAAACAAACAAAAAATGGCTTAATAAATAATGCATAACGATTATTTCTTTCAAAACGAAACCATGGTGTACTAGTTCTACAAAGCGATTCAAAAGTATAGCGTAAATACACCCGAGTCATGAATAATTTAATGAATCATTATCCGAAATTTATATTCTAGCCAGGCTACGATCTTAGAAAATGCATTTTATCCTGGTTTAGTTTTGAGCTGCTTATTTCAGTCTTCGGTTTTGTTCAGTGAAAACAATGGCGAAAGTTTAAAATTCAACAAGAGAAATTTGGATTCTACACAAGAGGAAGTATTATTTTGTATTCAGAGTTGGTATCATCAATATGATATTAAATATATAGAATATCCATGACAGGCATTAGTAAAAATATGCTGAAATTTATAATTTATGTCTGACAAAAAGTTAATAGGTACCTAATGCTTTCAGTTTTCAGTATAGAATCAATAATTAATGTAACATAATTCTTTTTTCTCTAATCTTAAATACTATTTTTGCTCTCGCATTGTATAGGGATTTTCTTCCTTAGGAGTGTAGTCAGCCGAATCATCCATCAGTCAGAATATAAGGGATTTTTTGGAAAAAACAAAGAAGAGTTTTGTTTGTGAACTGTTCTTTATTGGGGAGACTTTCTGTAAAAATGTACCTATCTAAAGATCTATGCTTACAACTTACAACAAGGTTAAGATTTGGTCAGAATATAGTTTTAAACTAATCTAAATTGAACTTCAAAGATGCTTTACTTATATTTGATGGAAATAAAAACAAAGGTGCCACAACAATAACGCAATTTATTTTTAGTATTTTTAATTATCCTGAAATTGTTATGTTTTCTTCTCCGGTAAACCCATAGACGTCCATTACTGGAAGTATAGGCATCTTCCAATTGTTTCCATACCTACCGATATTTGCCCAGTTTCAATTTCTTCCTCGGTTATAGACATACGTTGAATAGTTTCTTCACTCTTGAGTATCGATAGGATAACTTCTTTTCCTGCTTTCAGCATTTCAGTTGTCACTCCATATTCTCGGTGATTGGCTGATTGGCTTCTCCATCTCAGTCGCTGTCGTTTTTGACAGCGTACAGATCACAGAAAGTAAAGATTTTGTTGATCTATGAATTTGAATATTCATAGAGACTCTCTCCCTTCTAGATCCTTATCCGAAGTTGCTAATTTTCTATTCATTCCATGATGTTGATGAGGCATAATTTCGTATTGAAGTCGCCCATAATAACAGTTTCTGTTGCTCTGCCTTCGTCTATGGGTGTTGAACCGCATACTGTAATCGGCAGCTATTAAATTTTGAATCGTAACAGGAGAACATTCGTATAAATTATTGTTTTATCCTTATTTATATAGACTAATATACGTAGTAGACTACTGTTTCTAAATTCCTGAATATCCCGTTTTTAAACCAAGCCATAGTTATTTGATTTCGCACTTGCCATTTTATTCTTCTCAACAACCTATACCTTATTCTATTCTCTTTCACATAGTCTCAAAATTTTCTCCAAAGATCAATTTTCTTCTCATAATTCCGAAATGGCCAGTAACATGATTAGTTTAGTAATTAGGAAGTAATTTTAAAAAGGAAGAATCGGCATAAATGCGAGAATATACAAATCTGGTACATACCTACCTATCTATAAATAGATAGATATTCAAAGCCTAACCTAGATCTATAGATCATCTAATTGCATAAAATCCACATTTAAATTCCAACTACTTGCCGAGTTAAATACATACTTTCGATTCGTAACAAATCAATTTTTTAATTGTCATACTAATTTTTCAGAAAACACGTCTTTGTGGTACCGATGAAGCGGTGCATCGCAGGCTTTCTCTTCAGAGGCTGCCAAAAGATTTGTCCGACCTATTACGACCCAGTTTGCGGTACCGACAACATGACCTACAGCAACACCTGTTTCTTGGAAATCGAAAATTGTCGGTCGAGGTCGTTGGTGAACATGAAAAATATGGGAACATGTTCCGAGCCTATCGACGAAATACCGAAGAACTATTTGTATTGATGGAATTTTATGTTTAAATAAATTCAAAATTAATGCTTTTTTTTGTCCAATGTGATGTTAAGATGTTACCATCTGATCATGTTGGGTTTTTACGAATTTCGATGTTTTTCTAGTGATGCATGGAAAACAGACCCACCGCACTTAATTTCTTTTTTGTGGAAATAATAACAGACCCAGTGTCGATTTGATATTTTAAGTTGTTAATTCTAATTTATAAATAGCTTCTTGCCTTTGTCACTTAAACCAATAAAGCATTTTAACAGCTAATTGAGGTTTGTCAGTCCAATTATTATTGTACTTTAACCTAACAATATTTGGTGTTTATTGCATATTTTTGTCCAAACTTCCTACATTAGTGTTAGATGATTTTCTCCTTATTCATAACAGATACCGCTTAAAAAGTCTGTTTAGTTACATCTTATATTATTATTATTTTGTAAAAATTGCGTATAATGTTTAAATTGTGCCAATAATATAGGAAATAATTTATTTTTATTTTAAAAAAAGTGTTTATTTATTTTTTAGGATGTAAAACGAATGTTAGGGAAATAACTAATTTAAAATTATAAATTTATCTTTGAAGAATTTTGTTTTTTGTGTTTGATTTCACCAGATTTCACCTGTTATAATATGACCAATAAGAGCAGCATTGTCTCTTCCTGTGTTCTCCCGCTCCTTCCTGCGGTCCATCTTTTCCATAGATCGGAGCCTACAAATATTCCTCACAACTAAACAGCGCATAGAAGTGAATGCTCTTAAAAATGAGTTAAAGGAGAGGCAACGAAATGGAGAACCAGACATTATCCTAAAAAACGTAAAAGATATTCCAAAACTCGTACAAAAAAAATAAAAAATAATAAGACCCTTCCATCCAAAATCAACACCAATTTCCTCCATGTCAATTTATTTGTAGGATGTTAAGGGTCTCTGCACGAAGTTTCAACTTCATACTCTAAATATGACATTTTGGTTTCAATGAAACATAGTTAAAGTGCCAAGTTACGGATGTTCGATTATAATACAGGGTGAATCTGAAAGTGAGGGTTTTTTTTTAACAGGGTATATATCTCGCCAAAATAAGTTGTTTGGCAAAAAATTGTTTATATAAAAAATTTAAGATAACGGATTAAAAATTAAAAATTAAAAATCTAATTTCAATAATCTAGGATTTAGTAGAGAAAATATGATGAACATTATCACAAAAATTGTTCAAAATTATCCCAATTTGTCTGATGCTTCATTTCTTCCTTAATTTTGTCTGTTTCACTTTAAAACAAAAATTGATAGGAATGATAGGTTGAAAATGAAAATTTTTCTGATGAAATAATGCAACTGTGAGTACCTATTATGGAATAAGACTCATTATGCTGGACTAATAATGGCTTTTTTGCGGCTTTTTTTTTTTGAGAAAATGTAAACAAAGTGATTTATAGTGGAAGTCTTCTTTAACCTCAAAATAGCTGTACCACCGTTATCCTAAATTTTTTATGTAAACAATTTTCTGCCAAACAATTTATTTTGGTGAGATATACATCCTGTTAAAAAAAATCCTCACTTTCAAATTCACCCTGAAATCTAATTTAGATAGGTTGAAAATGAAAATTTTTCTGATGAAATAATGCAACTGTGAGTACCTATTATGGAATAAGACTCATTAGGCTGGACTAATAATGGCTTTTTTGCGGCTCTTTTTTCGAGAAAATGTAAACAAAGTGATTTATAGTGGAAGTCTTTTTTAACCTCAAAATAGCTGTACCTCCGTTATCTTAAATTTTTTGTTTAAACAATTTTCTGGCAAACAACTTATTTTGGTGAGATATACATCCTGTTAAAAAAAAAGCCTCACTTTCAGATTCACCCTGTATATGTATATACCTTGGCGAGAACACATCCACCGATAGTAGCACCTTCACTAAAGGGGGCGGAGTTCTGGTGGCAGTACAGTCACTGTAGGCAGTACGTACGTAAAGCTTTTACTAGCAGAATTTTGCCATCTACCAAAATTATTGAACAGTTGTTTGTCGAAATCGAATTTAATAAAAACAAATTCATTCTTGCCGCAGCTTACTTTCCACCCAGGTGTTCCTTCGAAAAATACATGGAATTTAGTAAGAATTAGGACAGACTATCTGAAAAAATACCCTGTCTGCAAGCTATATGCATCTTAGGAGACCTCAACCTACCTAACAGTCTGTAAGCTAAGGACGAATTGGCGTCGGTGGAAACCCCGTACGCAGGAAGCTCTAAAAACGAAATTGAATCCACTCAGGTATTTATCTCACCTATGGTCCTACCATAACCTTTTCCAAATAAACACAATCAGGAATGTAAACTGCAGCTTTTTGGATTTAGTGTCCTAAGTTCAGGCAGAAGACGCTCTATTGCCAATAGACTTTTATCACTCACCACTCTCTTTCGTATAAACGATGTGAATCTTTACCTTTTAACAACTCTCGTCTGAAGGGCGATATCTGTTATAGAGACTTTGAATCATCATGTCCCATTCAAACCATCCCAATTTGAATGGGACAAGTTACGTTAAAGCAAAGCTCTTAATGATAATATTGTCACTATAATGCTAAATGTCCGCCAGGCTGTCAAGAATCGATGGCGAAGATACTAGAATCTAGCGAATTATTCTACTTCAATCTGGAAAATAAGATTATCGTGTGTATAATATTCTAGATTTTACAGGAATAGATTTAGGGATCTATAAGAAGGCCGGCATTGATGTGTAAGTTAGTTTTCAGTTCGACTGTGATACGATTTAAATAGTGATTGTAAAGAGTTTAATTGTTGAGTTAGTAAAGTAATTAGTGTCAGAGTGTTTTGTTAAGTGGAATAAATTATTGCTGTGTTAATTGGACTTTGATTTTTTGGAATAAACGAAACGAACGACGAATTCCAAATTAAACATCGACCTGGAAACCTACTTAAAAATGCTGATGCTCTGTCTAGACGGCCATGTAAAGAAGATTGCAAACATTGTCAAAGAATCGATATACATGAGAAAAACATTAGTCCAGCTGTAAGAAGAACGGGCCTGATCGTCGATGACAAATGGACTACCAAGCAAATGAGAGAAGATCAGGAGGCAGACCAGGACATCGGGCAAATTCTACATTTTAAAGAAAACGATGAATGTAGGCCAGAATGGAGGGAAGTGTCAAACAAGAGCTTGATTTACAAAGCGTTGTGGGCCCAATGGAACTCTCTGGCCGTAGAAAATGGTTTGCTCAAAAGAGTTTGGGAAAGTGCCGATGGGAAATCCACTAAGAGCTAAGAGCCAACTGGTTATCCCAAAAGACCGAGTGGAAGATGT